GTTTAGGTTTTTTTTTTTTTTTTTTTTTGGTATTATCTATAGATTACTGCTGTTCTGTTTGTCATGGATTGAATTATGTCCTCCAAAAAACGTGTATCAGTTTGGCTGGGCCATGATTCCTGGTATTGTATGATTTTCCTGTGTTGTAAATCCTGCCTCTATGATATTAATGAGAGAGGATGGGTGGCAGTTGTGTTGGTAAGGCTGGACTCAATATATAAGATTGGATTGTGTCCTGAGGCAATCTCTTGAGATATAAAAGAGAAGTGAGCAGAGAGATAGGGACCTGCAACAACCAAGAAAGTAGTTCCAGGAGCAGAGCGTGTCCTTTGGACCTGGGGTCCCTGCGCGAAGAAGCTCCTAGTCTAGGGGAACACTGATGGGAAGAAGGCTGACAGAGAGAGAAAGCCTTCCGCTGGAGCTGATGCCCTGAGTTTGGACTTTTAGCCTACTTTACTGTGAGGAAATAAGCTTCTCTTTGTTAAAGCCATCCACTTGTGGTATTTCTGTTGTAGCAGCACTAGATGAGTAAGACACTGTTCTAGTAACAGACTTTCTCTTGGCTGCTTATGGTCTCCAATTCCTGTCCACCAAATTGCACAATACGTGGGAGAGCTTTTGTAGAATTTTATCTCCTTAACTTTTATACAGTTTGTTCATTCTATAAGAAATCCAAATGGAGTCCTTGATCCTTCATTTTGGTTCAAATTGTTCTATATTTACACAGTACTTTTTCAGGTATGTTGTGTAAGACTTGGACACTCTTAGAGTTTCAGATTGGTGGTATAGTCTTTGTAATTTCTACCCATATCTTTTTTGCCTTGAGTTTTGGGGATAGACTTTCAGTAAGCCTGTACCTGTACAGCTTTTTTCCTAGAAGTCTACTTTTCTCACTTTTATTGCATGTTTAAGGAAAAGCCTTTTCCCTTAAGTCACGTGTTAGAATAACTTGATTTTAATGTTAAAATTGACAGCTAATTATGTTTTTTAATAACTTGACAGGTTGGAATTCGAGGTACCAATATAGTTGTACTTGGAGTAGAAAAAAAATCTGTTGCCAAGCTTCAAGATGAAAGAACTGTGAGGAAAATTTGTGCCCTTGATGACCACGTATGCATGGCTTTTGCAGGTACTTAAGGACCTACAATAAAGATACACAGTAATTTAGTGTCATAGGGCAGCACCGTTGGCCCCACTATCTATAGCTGTTGTGCTGTATATATACACAACATGTGAGCAGTACACCATTTCTTATTCAGAACAAACAGTAGACACTGTCTTTTAAGGAAAATCACAATGCTGTATGAGTTGCACGTGCAGGTTGCCTTAAGGGCTGTCTCCAGATCCCAAGTACCCACCAGAGTCCTGGGATGAGAATTCTACTCAGTGGTACCAACCACTCCATGGGTGTTATGTCCATTTATCCTGATCACGGCGTACACACAAGACACCAACACGGTGTTGGCAAAAGTGAAAGCCATTTTAATTACTCACAGACAACAGTGTACAGCAGGAAAAGTTCCATCATGAGCAGCCCTCCCTGTCTCAAAAGCTGTCCAGGCGGAATGGAAAACTTCCACGGGTGCCCCCTCTCTTTGCACTGTGGACAAAGGACCCTGAGGATCTTCCCCCATGTGGTTTTATATTCCAGTGGTCGTATATTTCACCGCAGAGTACAATGCAAGTTTTCTTGCCTGATCACCTCAAGGAGGGGTAGTTAGACATAGGGGCACCAGCCTGGAATTGTTAGCCCGGAATTGTATCACTTTAGCCCTGCTGCTTATTTAGACAAACCATTAGACTTCAGAGGGGGAGTGCAGTGGTTTGTTCTGAAGCTGAAAGATGCCGTGGGAGGGGGGCAGGGAGTAGTTTTAGTTGTTCAGGCCATCCGAAGAACTGCCTCCCATATGTCTATGTGTGTATATATGTATGTATATATATGTATGTATGTGTATATACAAAGAAAGTCAGTTTGTGAGTGGCGCAAACAGTTAAGCGCTCGACTAACTGAAAGGTTGGCTGTCCTAACCCATCCAGAGATACCTCGGAAGACAGGCCTGGCCATCTGCTTCTAATAGGTTGCTACCTTGAAAACCCTATGGAGGAGTTTACTCTGCACATATGGGGTTGTCATAAGTTGGAGTCAACTCGAAGGTAGCTAGTAACGACACATATATAAATATGTATAGGTATGTACCACCAGTTGCTGTTGAGTCCACTTTGGCTCATGGTGGACCCATGTGTATCTAAGTAGAACTGTGCTCCATACGGTTTACACTGACTGATTTTTCAGAAGTAAATCACCAAGCCTTTCTTCCAAGGCATCTCTGGATAGACTAGAACCTCCAGCCTTTTGGTTAGCAGCCAGGTGCGTTAACCATTTACACCAAGGAATCCCTGGGTGGCACAAACGGTTAAGCACTTTACTACTAGCTGAAAAAATGGCAGTTTGAACCCACCCAGAGGTGCCTTTGAAGACAGGCCTGGTGATCTGCTTCTGAAAGATAACAGCCTTGAAAACCCTATGGAGCAGTTCTACTCCGTGCACGTGGGGTCTCCATGAGACAGAGTCGACTTGATGGCAACTCACGACAATTACATACAGTTGTTTTCTTTTTAAAGTTTTTATTTTAAAATAATTATGGATTCAAATAGACAATAGGTAAGTGGTAACTTTGATGAAGGGTCAGACAGTACAAAATACTGGGGAAACCAGCACAGCCTGTTCAAGGCAAGGTCACGGAAGCTCCACAGACACATCCAAACTCCTTGAGGGATGGAATTACTGGGCTGAGGGCTCTGGGGACCGTGGTCTCAGGGAACATCTAGCTCAATTGGCATAACATAGTTTATAAAGACAATGTTCTACACTCTACTTTGGTAAGTAGCGTCTGGGGTCTTAAAAGCCTGTGAGCAGCCATCTGAGATACTCCACTGGTCTCTCCCCTTCGGGAGCAAGGGAGAATGAAGAAAACTAAAGATACAAGGGAAAGATTAGTCCGAAGGACTAGTGGACCACATCTACCACGGCCTCCACCAGACTGAGTCCACTACTACTAGATGGTGCCTGGCTGCCACCACTGACTGCTCTAACAGGGATCACAATAAAAGGTCCTGGACAGAGCTGGAGAAAAATGTAGAACAAAATTCTAACTCAAAAAAAAAAGACCAGACTTACTGGCCTGACAGAGACTGGAGAAACCCTTAGAGTATGGCTCCTAGACACCCTTTTAGCTCAGTAATGAAGTCACTCCCAAGGTTCACCCTTCAGCCAAAGATTAGACTAAAAGGGCACAACAACCCAGGGACAAGGACTAGAAGGCAGGAGGGGACAGGAAAGCTGGTAATAGGGAACCGAAGGTCGAGAAGGGAGAGAGTTGACATGTCATGGGGTTGTTAACCAATGTCATTAAACAACATGTGTGTACTAACTGTTTAATGAGAAACTATTCTGTAAACCATCATCTAAAGTACAATAAAAAAATTTAAAAAAATTATAGATTCACAGGAAGTTACAAAAAAATATGAGGAGGTCCCTGTAGCCTTCAGTCAGTTTCCTGCAGTGTTAACATCTTCAAAACCAGGAAACTGGTACAATCCACAGAGCTTATTCACATTTCACCAGTTTTATATTACTTGTTTGTGTGTGTGTGTTTGTGTGAGGTGTATGTAGTTATATTAAACTTTATCAAATGTGTAGATTCACGTAGCCATCACCACAGTGAAGACACAGAACTGTTCCATCACCACGAGGCTACCTTATGCTATTCCATTTTAGTCACACCCATATCTCTATAATTTTGTCATTTGAGGATGTTACCTGAATGGAATCATACAGTATGTAACCTTTTCAGATTGACTTTTTTTACTCAACATAATTAAGATTCATCCAAGTCCCTATATGTATCAATAGTCCATTCCTTTTTATTACTGAGTAGTGTTCTATGATAGGAATGTACAACAGTTTGTTAGCAGTCTCTGTTGAAGGACAGTTGGGTTGTTTGCAGTTTTTGGCTATTACAAATAAAACTGCTGTGAATGCTCATGTACAAGTTTTTGTGTGAACATAGGTTTTCAGATCTCTGGTATGCCCAAGAGTACAATTGCTGGGCCATATGGTAGCTGCATGCTTAGTTGTATAAGAAACTATTTTTTCAAAGTGGCTGTATACTATTTTACATTCCCACCAGCAATGTTTCTCTGCATCCTTGCCAACATTAGATATTGTCACTATTTTTCATTTTAGGTATTCTTATAGGCATGTGGTGATATTTTTTCATTGTGGGTTTAATTTTCATTTTCCTAATGGAGACCTGGTGGCGTAGTGGTTAAGAGCTTGGCTGCTAACTGGAAGGTCGGTAGTTCGAATCCACCAGCTGCTCTTTGGAAACCCTATGGGGCAGTTCTACTCTGTCCTGTCGGGTCACTGTGAGTCGGAATTGACAGCAATGATTTCTTTCTTTTTTAATGGCTAATAAAGGAGCACTGGTGGTGCAGTGGTTAAGCTCTTGTCTGCTAACCGAAAGGTCCGCAGTCTGAACCCACCCAGTGGCTCTACCGGAGAAAGACCTATCGATCTGCTTCCATAAAAATTAGAGCCAGGAAAACCCTATGAGGCAGTTCTGTCACATGGGGTTGCTATGAATTGGAATCAACTCAGTGGTGCCCGATAACAACATTGGCTAATGATGTTGAACATCTTTTCATGGGCTTACTTGCCATCTCCAGCAAATAAGATGTCTATTCATATATTTTGTTCATTTGCTAATTGTAATTGTTTTTAAAACCACAGTTTTTATATTGAAGATTAAAACTTCATTGAGCAAAAAACAGTGTTTGTCCTACTGTCTTTAAAAAGGAATCATCCTAATATAAATGATGTGGGATGCTTTAATTTCTGGTATGCATACCTTTCTGACTTTAATATAAATTTTTAAAAAATATGTACATTGCTTTTTAGCAGAATAAAATAAACATTTGCTAATATTCTGCACCACATACTAATGAGTTGCAGGCTTGGAAAATACTGAAATATCTGTTATTGGGGAAATGATGTAATAAATCATGGTTTATCCTTGCAGTGGTTTAAAAGCAGAGGTTCTGGAATCATAGCAACTCAGTTCTAAGCCAGATTCCATTGTCTACTAAACCTGTGACTGTGGGCAAGGTAGAAAACTATTCCTTGCCTCAGTCTACTCATTTGTAACATGAGATTAATGATGGTATCTACCTTGATTTGTTACAAGAATTAGGTGAGTTAATACATGTGATGCATTTAAAAGAGTCTGATACCTGCTGAGTGTTTAACAAATATTATTACTCTGACCAGTATCGTTGTTGTTAGGTGCTGTTGAGTCGGTCCTGACTCATAGTGACCCTATGTACAACGGAACAAAACACTGCTTGGTCCTGTGCCATCCTCACAATTGTCGTTATGTTTGAGCTCATTGTTACAGCCACTGTGTCAGTCTGTCTTGTTAAGGGTCTTTCTCTTTTTTGCTGACCCTCTACTTTAACAAGCATGATGCCCTTCTCTAGGGACTTACCCTTACTGATAACATGTCCAAAGTATATGAGATGTAATCTCGCCATCCTTGCTTCTAAGGAGCATTCTGGTTGTGCTTCTTCCAAGACAGATTTGTTTATTCTTTGGGTGGTCCATGTGTAGTCAATATTCTTCGCCAGCACCACAATTCAAAGGCATCAATTCTTCTTTCATCTTCCTTATTCATTGTCCAGCTTTCGCATGCAACTACTATCATTACTACTACCATACTGTCATTATTTAGTGGCAGTTTAAAAAGGAGGTGGTAGGATCAATGTGTATTGACATGGAAGAGTATCCATAATAAATTGCTTAAAATAGCAGGTTAGAGAAGAATATGTGTAATATCCCGTTTATATATTGTGAATTATACGGTAGCTCTTATTTCCTCTATAATGGTGGAATATTTTACAGTGAGTATAAATCAGAAAAAAAAATACAGTTCTGTTTTGAAAAAAGTCACACTTTTTTTGTTGTTATATTGTAATTTTAGTATTTGAAAAACAACCGTATGAAAAAGTGAAGAATTTGAAAAAAAATTATTTAATATAGCATGTGGAATTCCACTTAATAGTGGAAATTTACATTACAATAGTATCTTCAAGGTAAGTTATGGTATAAATTTAAAAGCACTAGACTGAAGGCTCATTTCTTCTACATATTGCTTATTTATAAGCATGAAGTTGTAATTTCAAATGCTATTTTTAATTAAATAGAATTTTTTCTCTTTTTACCTAGCCAGTTAGTATTGATTACTGTAATTGCTGTGAATATTAAAAACCAGTGAACACGACCAGTGTAGTTCATGTAGTCTGGCAAATTTATAACTAATTTTTTTTCTTGAATTAGTTGTAATACTGCTTTTCTAAATAAGTATGATACTTTTATGTCTATTCAGTTTTAAATCATGTTCACATTATAAAAGGTAAATTAGAAATTTCCTACAATGACATCTCTAGGGTTGGTGTCAACCAGTGCAGTAACTCCTGTTGTCACCACCACCCCTGGGGCAGTCGGGGCTGGCCCGGTGACAAACAACGTCCCTTCCCTTGGCAGAGTGGCCCTGCCTCGCCCCTGCATAGCCTGCCCCCTCCATCCATGGCTTCTCACAGCTCCTCCCTTCTCCCATTGGGCAAGGCGGAGACAAGAAAAGAGTTACCACGCTGGGTGACACCGCTCTGCTCCTAGTGACTGGCAGGTGACTGTGTGTGTGTGTGTGTGTGTGTGTGTGTGTGTGTGTGTGTGTGTATGTGGGGTGTGTGGTGTATGACAAGTTACCACACTGGTGATGGGTAACACCAACCCTAGTGATGCCACCGCCTTGGCAGTCCCTCCCCTGGTAGTACTGGCCCACCTCCACTGTCATGGACCCTGGGGTCATTTTGGTGTCACTGTTGACAATGTCCTGGGGTGCAGTCAGCACCCCCTAGTGATGCCACTGATTTCCTACCTGATCATGTTTTATAATTGAGTAATGTGTCAACCTTCTTTCTCTTGCCGTTTCTTTCTCTCAAATAACGTTTACAAAGAGGAGAGAATCAGTTTCTCTTCCTATAGTTGAGTATCTGATTACAACTGGCACCCTACCTATGAGTGCTAGGGTGACTGGCAGTAGTATATCTGACAGGTGCTTCATTGTTGACTGATAGTAACTGTCTACAGAATTGAGGATTCTTCCCGATTTGTAGAAACAGGATGTGTAATGGTATCTAAGTGTAGTAAGAGTTTGTGACTGCAGAAGATTGATGGTGATGTGACAAATGGCTAAGTTTCAGAGCTTTGGTGAATAAATTTTTTTTAACAGTATAGTATGGAGAGAGTAGGGGGTACTTAAAAATGACTATGGAAGAGTCAGGTGCCAAAGAGGTCTTAAATAGAAGTGTTTGCAATTATTTAATCAGTTAAAGTTTATTGTGAGTTTGTTACTCTTGATAGAAACACATTCTGTTTCCTTATTGGAGTGCTGAGAATTATCACATGATGTTTTGGTTTTTTAACATTTTGATGTTCAAGCCCTTTATCCTAGCCGGAATGCTGAGAAGTGACCAGTTGCATTGAAAGCAGTTTGAATTCAATGGATATTATGTTTGATGGTGAAGTAGTATTCATTGTTAAGAAGAAATCTGGCTTACTTCATGGTTTAGGTATCAAGTTTATTTGTTTTGGTTTTTGGAATCAGGATAGACTATCAACTTTTGAATAGAGTGCCGTTGAGATCTTAAAAAAAAAGTTTTAAGAAATATAATTACAGAGATTTTGTAAAAAAAATTTTTTTTTTTTTTTTTTCTACTCAGAGAATTTTATTTTTAAAGCATACAAGTCTGTTTTCAGGCCAGAGTTTCATAAATGGCTGTTGGTGATTTTGTAAAATTATTTAATGAAGCCTAATGACCAGCTCAACTACTGTGATTTAAACCGGCTTACTCTTAGGGAAATAGTTTTCGTAACACTGGTCTTTAAGTCATTATTCTTTAAAACTATTTTCTTTACAAAGCAAGTAAGTATGCATCCAATTAAGTCCTGAAGTAAATAAATCAGAATGTGGAACAAATGATACTTTTATTTTCTAAGTCTTTTTTAATCAGTATATGTTGAGAAAAACAAAGGATGTTATAAGAAAGATTTCATAGTAGCTAAAGCCCTTTTGACAATGAAAAGTCATCCTTTTTTGGTAATATATTGAATACTTTTATAGGACTAACTGCTGATGCTAGAGTAGTAATAAACAGAGCTCGTGTGGAGTGCCAGAGTCATAAGCTTACAGTGGAGGACCCGGTCACTATAGAATATATAACTCGCTTCATAGCAACTCTAAAGCAGGTAAGCTGATATTCTAGCAGATTTCTTCACATTTTCTCCTTTTCCACCATTATGAATACTATCGTGGAAATACTACAATCAACCCAATCATTTAGTCTATTGAATCTACTAAATTTCTTATTCCTTCTCACACTAACTTCACATTCACATACTTATTCCAGTGGAATGGGTTGATTTCATCAGCAGAAATCTTAACCAGTATCAATTCTAGTAATTTAAAATTTTAAAAGAATAGTAACTCCGGTCTTTTAAGGGAGTTGCTATATTTCTGGAGATATAGTAGTAAGAAACATTCTTTGAATTTTTCCAGAGAAATACCCATGATTCTGTCACCTTCAAACCTGTACACAACTAATCAGGTTTATGTATGAGTACTTCTGAACCTGGATGTTTATACAGTTTAACATTAAGTATAATCATGATGGATGCAAGTATTTTTTTTTCACTTATTATCATTTTATTTGTACTCTATATATGGCAACACGGAGCCCTGGTGGCACAGTGGTTAAGAGCTCGGTTGCTAACCAAAAGGTCGGCAGTCGAATCCATCAGCCGCTCCTTGGAAACCCTATGGGGCAGTTCTGCTCTGTGCTATAGAGTCGCTATGAGTCGGAACTGACTGGATGGCACATAACAACAACAACAACAACGTGTCAATATAGCCTCATAGTTATCATTTTTACTAACTATATGACACTATATCTAGTTGCTATCTGATAATTTAGTTAGGTTGTGTCAAGGTTCTTTTTCAGTAGTTTCTTTGAAACTTTTTTTCTACTTTAATAATATAACTCTCTTTTTCACGGCTTTTTTTTTTCCCTTTTTGATTCATATTGTTAAATTAATTTTCAGGATGGAATTACTAGGTCAGAAATAGTAACCAATTTTAAGACTCCTGTTATATGTGGCTAAATTGCTTTCTAAAAAAGATGGAACCAGATTTTATTGTGTAATAAGCAATGCATAAATGTATCTCTGAAGAATCATCAATGTTGGGTTTTTCATTTTTCTTTTATTTTGCAAATATGCATAATATAGCACTGTATTAGTTATTTTAATTTATATTTTATAATTAGTATTGAAGTTCAATTTTTTCCACATATTGGTTTCCTATTTTCTTTTTTCCCAGTGTAAACTATCTTTCCTTATGACAGGCACTTTAGTGGTTAAGAGCGGCCCCAGGAGCTAGAATTTTGAGGTTTGAATCCAGGCTTTGCTGCTTCGTAGTTGGTGCCTATTTTTGTCTCAATGTTACTGGTTTTTTTTTTCCTTTTTTTAAATTGTGCTTTAAGTGATAGTTTACAAGTCACAATTTCCCTATTTATAAAATAAGCATTATAATAATACTTACCTTACTGAAGTACATTATGGATTTAATACGTTTAAAGCACTTAGAAAACTTCTAGCATGGGTTTTACCATTTGCCCTCTTAGAAACTTATGAACTGTGTATTCTTTTTTTTTTTT